CAGGCTTGGCTTACAGTGCTTCACAGGACAGAATGTTATCCAGAATTCTGGATTTGTTCCTAAGCAACAGAGAGCCATGTTCTTGGGCAGCCCTGAACTGGGGCTCCTTGTTAGGACCAGGCACTCTCACCTCAGCAGCTTGGCTTCCAGGGAACAGAGGCATGCTTTGCCTGGCTTACAGGCATATTATATTGACTTTAGTATGTCTTCAGATGAACCGTGTGCATGGAGGTTATTTTCTAGCCCTAACCCCCCAGGTTGTAAATCTTCCCAGATACTTCACATCAGCTGAGGGCCCAGGGCTGTACCTAGCCCTGTCAGCTTCTGGCAAAGTGAAATTAGAAGGATTCAGAACACTTGCTTTGAAAACCTGAGGTAGCTTTACCCATTTGCTGTGATGGAGGAATATGTGTTCTGTAATACACATGCAACTGGATGTGGGCCTCCTCTGCTCCCTCCTTGCTACTCTATGGCAATAACATCTCCTGAGTCAGACCTGGCATTCTCATGCATTATCCCAAGAATAGGACAGAGCCAGCAACCAGGAATCTCCTTCCATCTCACCACCAGTCTCCATCACAGAGGCCTCCCACCCAGACCAGACTCCATCGTACGTCGTGACCTACTCCACCCACAATAACTTTGGAGCTCACATCTGTCTTGATGTAGCCAGCTATTTTGCTGTGTAACTCGACCATGTTTCTTTATCCTGGTCTTTTGCCCTTCAGGTGGCTCAATGCACATTCCATGGGATAGAATGCAGACAACATATTCTTAAGTGGAAGTGCCTCCCTTCCACTTAAGTGGAAGTGCGGGTTTGTGACCTGCATCCTCAGCCATATGCCAGAGTCTGAGAGTGTACAGTGGTTGGGAGTGTAGCCAGTGATAAAGGGTGTGCTTCTGCATGCATACGCCTGGGATTCTATCCCCCACCACCACCAAGGGTGCATGACACTGAGATGCAGACCCAGGGTATCTGCTGCATCTTCTCCAATTGACTGGTCTACACTGTAAAAGTTCAGCTTATCTCTCCCTAAGCTGTGTCCCTAACAGCAACTCCCCATGTAAAGTATGGGAGCAGATGCTAAGGATTTAGGGAGAGCAACCACCACATTACTTCCAGCTGTTGGCTAGCACAGGTAGCAGACATCAAGTATGCCTATTATTATCCTAGAGTACCAAACACTTATGTTGGTTTTCCCCTTGCCCGGAGTCTTCCCACAAGACCCTAGGATTGTTTTGATTTTCTCCCATTATGATTTAAAAACTATTACAGAAATTGGGAATGGCCAAGGAGAAAGGGAAGTGGAAATGAAATGGAAAAAAGCGGGAATATGAAGCCGTTACAAGGTATCACTTTTGAATGTAATCCTTTCATGCTGGCTTTATAAGTGTCTAGCAGTGTCTAGGAAGCCCAAAGAGCCTTTGAAAGGGTGCCAGTTTCAGGAGCAGAAAAAGCAATAAGAATAGCAGAAGGGAGATTTTTTTTTTCTCTCCTAGGGAAAGCTCCTAGAAGATGCTTTGGTATTCCCCAGTCTTGTGAATTCAGAGCAAATGATGTTTATTTGGAGTTTCAGAGGCGACCAAAGCCTGCTTTCATAGGTAGTTCATTATGCAGAAATGCTGGGCCATGATGTGAACATTTTGTACCGTTGTTCATAATAGAGTGAGACTGGAAGAGATGATAGCAAAGAAAAGCATGGGCCAGCAAGAATGCTAATGCCAGTCAGTGTTACCTGATCACCCCTTCTCTTACTCAGAGAAAAATTCCCTAAGAACAGCAAAGGCAGGAGTTAAGGCAGTCACCAATAGGCTGTTATCCCATTTTGAAATTGAAAATGAGTCCCTGTCTTTTTTCCTTAAGCCACAATGGTTTAGAGCAGGAATGGATTATAGGAATTGTAGCCAGCTAACTCATTCCCCTGAAAAGGCACTCAGCCACTGCCCTCCAATGGGTCCATCTTTGGATGCCTTGGGAGGGTCACTTTGATCCTTAGGCACAGCTCTGAGGCCCTCTTCACTTTTGCCCAACTTTCTGGCATTTTTCACCTACACAGTGGCATTTAAAAATGTTAACGGCCCACAGAAACAACTCCCCAGAGTGATAGCTGGGATACCAGCATGGGACTGATCCAGACCCCAGGAACATGGGTTTCATTGAGGAAACCTCAGAAATCTACGGGACCTCCTGTAGTAGTTCAGTACTTATCCCTAGCATAGGTGTGGACTTTGGGAGCCCATTCCACATAGAGGAATACTCCCTGAGCCAAGACACACAGGGGTGGGTCTAGGCCCTATCCCAAAGAAGACAATAGACTCTGATGACACCCTATGGAAGGCCTCACCATCCATGGGGAGCAGAAAGGATATGTAATAGGCAGGGTTTTAGTGGGGGTGGGGGGGTTGGTAGGGGAAGACCGGAGGGAGAAGAGAACTGGGATTGACATGTAAAACAATCTTGTTTCTAATTTAAATTGAAAAATGGAGAAAAAACAAAATAAATAAATAAAAGTGTTAAAGGTAACCAGTGGTGATGGCACTAAAACGAATAATCCTTTCACACATGGGCATAGGTGACAAACAGAAGACCTGACATTTGGTCATAGGTTTACTATTATTCCAGAGCCCATGGATTAAAAAGTCAGAGCCAAGATGAACTGTCATTTTTATGCTTAGACTGGATGATGTACAGAGAGCCGATTAAAATATATGATTGGGCTGGGCATTGGTGGCACATGCCTTTAATAAACCCGGCACTAGGGAGGCAGAGGCAGGCAGATTGCAGTGAGTTCCAGGCCAGCCTGGTCTCCAGAGCGAGTGCCAGGATAGGCTCCAAAGCTACACAGAGAAACCCTGTTTCGAAAAACCAAAAAAGAAAAAAATATATACATGATTAGACTAAAGGCGTGTGTCCTAATGGCAACAGAATGAGGAAGCCCAGCACACCTCTCTACATCATGCCCCTTCCTCCTGGCTGTGAGCACCCCCTTTCTGAAATACTGCTTGCTCCTGGCTGTGAGCACCCCCTTTCTGAAATACTGCTTGCTCCTGGCTGTGAGCACCCCCTTTCTGAAATACTGCTTGCTCCTGGCTGTGAGCACCCCCTTTCTGAAATACTGCTTGCTCCTGGCTGTGAGCACCCCCTTTCTGAAACCCACAGTCAGGCAAGGTAGATCAGAGAACTTAATTATGGCCCACTCTTCTCAGAACGATCTCTAGAGGAGTTAGATTTTTTAAATTTTGTGACTCCTTTGGGGGAAGTGGGTTGTGGGTTCTAACACTATCTTATGGCGGGGGCGGGGGCGGGGGGGCGTGTCGTGCTTTTTTTGTTTTAGGCTTTA